AGGGCTTTGGGAGCTCAGACCTCAACAACCAGAGCCCCAGGTGCACTCAGAGCAGCCTAGACTGTGAGATGGAAAGGCACCTCTTGCATGATTGTTCATGGATTGTGTTTGTAGATAATGCAGGACCTTGCCTGTGACCTTGGAGGTAACCAGTGTCAGACTCCTCAGTAAGTAAGGTGAGCATGGCTTAACATGCTCGTGCTCACTAATCCATAGTGAAAATTGTCACTTTTTAAAATCAGCTCAGAGATTCTACTTCTAGGTATGGCTGGCATTGTCTTTTTCCTACAGTATAAAATTTTAAAATTTACAATCCTTGGCGGGGACAAAATACTCAGTAAAAAAGATAAACATGGGTTTACTTGTGCTAACTATTACTCTTCAGCACATGACTTTCATCAGATCTTGTGAAATTATTCATTACAGATTAGTAAGTAAACATACTGGGTACTCTGCCCTAATTGTGTCTCCTCAGTCCTTTCACGAACCATTGATGTGTACACACTTCTTAAACTTTCAGAACATTACCATTGTTGTGTTCATTCCTCTTCCTCCTATCCCTTGAGAGGTTTTGCCTTTTAAAACCCTTTATTCTTTTTCAAACTTTTTTATCCTGGTCAGAGCAAAATATTTTGAAATGTGTTTTTTTTAATATATTTTTTTAGTCATATCCCTTTCTTTGATTTCAAAATGTTCTTATTTTTTTTTAATAAATTCTATTACTTAATTCCTGTTCTGACCCAAGCTGTAATCAAAATTGCCTATAGATGTCAGGCTGTTTGCCCTTGCTCCCTGCCTGGTTTAAAGGCCTGAACAAGGGGGAGTCAGAGACAATTCAGTTTGGGTGAATAGAAGAGCAACAAAGTTTCCACTTTTCCCTTTTCCATTTTTCACTTGGGATTCTTAGAGGAGAACACTTGACCCAGGTGAACATTAAGAAGGGCTGAAATAGCTAAATAGAGGGCCAGAGGGCCTGAGACAATTCCTACGATACCACTTTACTATGGTCCCAAGACTTGTATTTGTAGGACAGAGGCTCCCAGGCTTCTCAAATCAGGAGCATGGAACGCAGTTGAGAAAAACAGGCTGAGGACACTGCCAAAGAGTTACCAGAATGAGAGGCAGGTGAACTGCAGTGCACTGTCAGGGCCGACCCCTATGGAGTTCATGTAGATGATACAAAGGCTCTGTGGTTTCAGGGAGGCTGAACTGAAGCATTTGGAGGTGGTGGTGGGCACAGGGCTACTACTTGGCTCCCATCATTCTTAGAAAACAAAGCAGAAGTAAAATCATGGGATCCCTGAGACCACCAGTGCCTCCTTGTATCTCGGCAGGTCCCTGAAGTTCCTCCACCTGCCCGGGACACTTCATTTTGAAGAGAAGGTGGTAAAAGAAGAGGAAGAGGCCCTGTTCAAACTGTGAGCTCAGAGAAGCCCTGATGGGCTTTGAACCTTGGATTTTATGGAACAGTTATATGAAAGAGACAAAGAGAAAGAGGCCATTTTTAAAGCAAAAGGTTGTTTTGATCTGGAAGAAACTTAATTATTTTTAATGGTGGTTAGGTGTGGTCAAGTTGACTACAACTACCAACAACAGATCTGAATCCTGTGCCATCCTCACCGTGGACACTCCATCTTGTTGAGGGTCTTCTTTCCCTGAATTTCCACTTTTTGCAGCATAATGTCTCTTTTGAAAGCACTAGGCCCTCCTGACAACATGCTCTAAGTATGTGAGAGCAATTTTAACTAGTAAATGTAAATTCTCAGTTGAAATACTTTAACCAGCAAATATAAAATTTCTGCTGAAAATTATCCAAAAACGTTTGGAAAGATATGTTAACAGAGAACTGCCAGATGTGCAGGCTGGATTTAGAAGAGGTCGCGGTACTAGGGATATTATAGCTAATGTTAGATGGATCTTGGCAGAAAGTAGAGACTACCAGAAGAATGTCTATCTGTGCTTCATTGACTATGCAAAGGCTTTTGACTGTGTGGATCATAACAAGCTATGGCTGACTTTGAGAAGAACGAGAATCCCAGAACATTTGATTGTGCTAATGCGAAACCTATACTTGGACCAAGAGGCAGTCATCAGAACAGAGCAGGGAGACACTGGATAGTT